TGGAAGGTGTGCTACCTGGAACACACATATACTGCTTCCCAATACTGCCTTTATCTGTACATTCTCAGAACCTCTCAGTCCACTTGCAGTGTCTCTCTAAGAACAAACAGTATGTCCTGTCACCCCTTGTGTGAACCACAGTGCCCAGGACACATACACATCAGTAATTATGAATTGCTTCATCAAAAGGCAGCTCCTGTCTTGTGAGTCTTCAGAAAACAAAACTCTTCCAGTAACCCATTCAATCCAAAGCTACCTCGAGAAACCACATTCCTAATGCTGGAACAATAAACCTTCCCATTTAGCTGATAGAGAAATGTGTTGTGTTACAATGTAAACCAAATTAGCTCAATAAAGAGTTTTGACTTTCTGGTAACCTTCTGTCGAAAATCCATGAGCTGGTAAGAGTCAGAATGGAGCTGTTATATTTGAAACTAAACTGAAGAATCAGAACAGATGCAAGGCATAAAAGAGAGACGGCACACTGGCTTTAAATGCATATAACATGGGACTTTGATGTTTGCTTCCTAACGATTTATTTAAAATTGTTTGCCCTTTGAGCCGCTTTAATTTTGGATGCCAGAGTTCTCTCTGGGTTCTGTGAAGAATGGTCCGCATACATTTCTTAAAATGCAGGTTTTATTATTTATTTATTTGGGTACTTATTTTCTGACAGGTCAACTAGCATGGAAATCCTGGGCCTTAGGAGGTCTGAGTCTCATTTTTATATTTACACAGGGAGCATGCTGTTTCTCGCCGAAGTCGGTTGAACTATATGGGCCAGTTTCTCTTGTCGGCTTCTTACAAGCTTTGAAATGGAAGAAGAAATGCACAGCAGGGTAATCCAGCCCTTTGAAATTTGGGAAACTGGGCAAGATGCACTGTGGTATTGATTTGTAATAAGCTTTGTTCAGAAGGCATCCACCTATAATGCGATGAGGATTCTTTTTGGATTAAGATGCCTGGTGGTTATAAATGAATAGCTGTTACCTCTTTATTTGGGGTTGGGAGGTGGTGACAGTGGTGTGAGTTTATGATTTTCAGTGATTTCCTTTGTGGGTTTTTTTTTTTTTTGCATTTCTTTTCAAGGCATGTTCTTTCATTAGAGGTACAAATGACAATGTAAAAGACATGCCACTTCAGGAGTTAATTCATAACCCACAGCTGAGGGAGCTGAGGGAGCTGAGGGAGCTGTGCTCCTGGGTGCTTCTCACTGATACTATTTACTGAGCTCTCAGGATGCCGAGCACGGTCCTGGCCCTTTATAGTAGGATGCTCATCATCCCACTTCTCCTTGCCAGGATCCTCGAAGCTGTGCACCCGAAAGTCCCATTTCTGAGATGAGGAGACAGAATCAGGAAGGAAAGGTAGCCTGCGCAGGGATCAGAGCTGGTAAAGCTTAGGACCGACATAAGGAATGATGTTTGCTTGCCTTCAAGGCCAAGCACTAAAAGCTAGACCCCGATCCCACCTCTATCTGAACACCTACATGCAAGCAGGCTGGGAGCTCCCTGCTAGATGCTTACAGACCTCAGCTCTACACTGGCCAGGACAGGCAAGCTGGGGCCATTTCAGAAGGAATCACTTAAATCATTTTGTCCTTTAAATCTAATCAATGCTAAAACTCCACTTCTCTAGCTCTGTACATTGCTCAGTTGGGTTTTTGTCTGTTTCTTCCCAATTGCCCACACACTCTTTTAGCTGGGATTGCTGAGACCTCAGTGTCAGGAAATTCCGAGCTACTTTTAGACATAAGAGATTGAAAATTACATGAGATTTTTTTGTCTGTTATAAAAAGCTTAAAACTGAATTATTTAAACCTGGATACCTGCCTACATACACTATTATAATTTTTGACACAATGATGCTTTTCTTTAGAATGCTGTCAGGCCATGCCAATCCCTGTTTGAAGGTCTTCCAGTATGCCTTACTGTTTCTGTTCCTATTTCCTAGATTTTCTATGAAGTTGAATAGATTCTGTGTATCAACCCTTCACATTTCATCCAGGTCAGTTGGAATGTTCCACTTTCAGAGCCCACCAAAAGGTCTTTGAGAGGAATAAATGCCTATCCTCTATAACTTCATAGCCATCTAGATGAAGCTGAGATAGGAGACCGTGGTAAAGGGCAGCAGGATGAGGGAGGTTCCTAGGTCAATTTTTCATACCTTTCCAAGGATCCTGGAGTCATTTATGAAGCGATGTGTTCCTTGGGAATGGGACCTTGTTTGAAAATGCAGTCTTTTGCTCATAATCATGTACAAGGAACTCATTCAATCGGACCATGACCCAGTCTGATAGTTTCCTTATAAGTGGGGAATTTGAATCCAGAGGCAGAGAAAATAGAGAGAGAAAACTATGGGTGAGTAGGGTTTTGTGCACATAAGTGTGTGCCCCCTCCCACATATTATTAATATGTGATGGCTATTCTTGCTTGTAAACTTGACTACATCTGAAATTAACTAAAAACACACTTGTGAAGAATTTTTTTTCTTAAATCATTTGAAGTGGGACGACTCACTTTGAATCTGTATCTTTGAGGTGGGAAGATACACCTTTAGTTCAGATCTTGTGAGGTGGGAAAATCCACCTTTAATCTGGGCCACACCTTCTCATGGCAGCCTATATAAAGGACGTGGAAGAAGGAAGGTTGATCTCCGCTGGCAAGTCCATTCCATCATTGGTATTAGAGTCTACATTTTTAGGTCTCCAACATATACTGAAGCCATCCAAAACATTCAGCCTTGTAGACTGAACAACTGCCGGGTCCTTGGACTTTCTGTCGGTGACAAGATTGTTGGACTAGCTGGACCAAAGCCTGTAAGACATTCTAATAAATGCCCTTTCTATTTCATCCCACCAGCTCAGTTCCTCTAAAGAACCCTCACTAATACAGATTTTTGTACCAGAAGTGGTTCTGGAGTGGAGCAACAGAAATATAAGGATGACTTTTTTTTTTTAAGTACCAGGAATAGGCTTTCCAATTTGCTGACACCTACAGTTACTGAAGCCTTTCCAGCTTCCGAAACCTCTCCTAGAAGCTCGGATATACTGAAAACCCATGGTGTGAACTACTTTACAAACTTACGGAGACAAATACATTTGATTATTTCAATTCACCAATTGTAAGAGACAACAGATTTGGTGACCCCATACATAAAACTTTTGACAATTTATGAAAAAAAAAATAAGGAAAATTATGGTGCTAATTGGTTGCTCCTAGCATCTCTGGGTTAAGCAACAAGGGAAAAGAACGAACTTGGTGATAAAATTAACCAACATCTAGCTTCTCAGAATACGGTGAAGGACAATGATGAACTCAGGGATAAAATTGGCAGGCTCCAGATGTGCATAAACTGCCTGAATGTTTTTAAGTGTGCCCTGGAAAAGAATCATCTCTCTTCTTCAGCCACAGAGCTCAAGTTCCAGAAAATCAGCCCAAAGCCCTCATTATAAGGCTGGCTGAATTACAGTGAAAATTCAAGTCCCAGCCTCAGAGGGTGTTGGTGATTAGACTAAGGGCATTCATTGATAAAGAATGGGATCCTGTAACTTGGGATGGGGATGTGTGGGAGGACCCCGTTGAGACTGAGAACTTTGAACCCTCAGATTCTCAAGGGTTTTTCTCACCTGAGGAAGTAGTCTCTCCACCCTCAGCAGAAGATGTGCTCCTACCACTACTCCACGAAATACTGCCTTTTCTGCTCTTGACTGAGGAAATGAATACTTCATTATCTGCTCAACCAGCAGTAAGTTTCTCTGAAGGAGATGCCCGGCAAGACACTAGTGATGTCACTCAGGACCCACCGATAGTTGCCTATAGTCCTATATAACCAGGCATACAGCTAAGCAGGCTCCTAGAGAGGAGGTGAATAGTGTAGTCCACGAGGAGGTATGCTACACCATAAAGAGCTTAATGAGTTTGCTAACTCATTCAAGCAGAAGTCTAGGGAATATGTGTGGGAATGGATTTTAAGGGTGGGGGAATAATGGTGGAAGGAACATAAAACTGGATCAGGCTGAGTTTATTGAAATGGACCCACTGAGTGGCGATTCTAGGTTTAATGTAGAAGCTCACATAGTTTTTTGTTTTTTGTTTTTTTTTTAAGGTATCAAAAGTTTGTTTGAATGGTTGGCTGAAGCATTTGTCAAAAGATGGTCTACTGAAAAAGAGTTGGAGATGCCTGATAGCCCTTGGCTTCAGTGTTAATGAAGGGACTTTAAGGCAATTGCAAGGATAGAGTGGGTATTACATGTAAAACTGAATCCTTCACAATGGGAAGGCCCAGAAGACATCCCCTTCACTGATCCTATAAGACACAAAATGGTGAGAGGGCACCAGCACATTTGAAGAGCTTTGTTCTCTCCCTTTTCCATGTGCCAGACCTAGGGTTGGAGATGCTGCTTCTCACTTGGATGGATTAAATGCTGTGGGTTTAAGTGGGTCCCTAAGTAGCAGGGGCCAGGTGGAAGGAAGCACTGAATGCCAAAGGCACGGTAAGCACAGTTATCATAATGGGTAGCACAGGCAAAGCAATGTCCATGATGGCCTGGCCCATAATGGGCAGCACAGGAAAAGTGATTTTTATGGTGGTATGACTTTTTGGACTTTTGGTACTAGCTAATCAATCATGATGTTTCCAGGCATGAAATAGATAAGAAGCCTACTGAATTTTTGTTTGATTTGAATAAGCAGAAAACTTCTCAAACAAATGAAAGAAAAGCTACACTGGAGTGTGGCAAAAGAGAATCTTGGCCCATGAACCAGACTTGAACTAGCTTGCAAATTCAGAACCCCTTGAATGAAGGGACAGCAGGTTCCCCTGAGGAAGGACCTTGATGAAACACCTACGAGCTATACTGTTAGCCAGAGGGTCCTTCCCCAGAGGGACCTAAGACCTTTTACAAGGGCAACTGTACACTGGGAGAAAGGAAACATTCATCAATACTGGTTCAGAACTGACACTGATTCTGGGAGACCCCAAGATATACTGTGGCCCACCAGAAGGAGCTTGTGGAGGTCAAGTGATTAATGGAGTTTTGGCTGAAGTCAGATTTACAGTAGGTCCAGTGGGTCCCCAAACTCATCCTTTAGTTATCCCCCAGTTTTAGAATATACAATTAGGGTAGATATACTTAGAAGTTGGCAGAATTCCTAAAATATATTATTGTTCAAGTCACATAATGTCTAATATTTTTTTTTTGAGACAGGGTTGTTGTCCGTATGTTGTTTTGGTGCCTATCCTGGATCTCGCTCTGTAGACCAGGCTGGCCTCAAACTCACAGAGATTCACCTGGCTCTGCCTCCCAAATGCTGGGATTAAAGGCATGTGCCACCGCTGCCTGACTAATTTTTTTTAATAGCAGTCTTAACGAAACTAATTCAGAGTATGTGTGATTTATAACAGTTCAACTTAGAACTTTTTGACTTAGGATGATGTAAAGTGAAAAATATTCAGTAGAACCTAAACCTCAAACTTTTGAAGTCTTACTTTTTTCCTGGACTAGTGACACACAGTGTGAGAATCTCTTGGAGTACTGTAATACAGCACTGGTATTGGTGGCTGTTCCAATACCAGTGAGCTGCAGCTCCCTGCTAGCCATATGACCCTGAGGACACTGTTCCAAAATTAGGGTGTCTGGGAGACTGCATGTACTGGAAAGACCTGCAGTAGACTTAACATGATGTAAACTCATCATACAGCCATGAGCATCCTTTTCCTTAGAGTTTCTCTCCAAAGTCTAGGCTGTCTAGAATCAGGATGGGGAAAAGGAAGAAGAGGGGGGGGACTTTGCTGAAAGAATGGGGTGCTGATGTGAACAGAAGCTGGGCTAGAGAGTTTGGGCAGAAAGGGGATCTTTCAGAGAAAGGGATGGAAGGGA